TTGACTGGTAGTTTGTATTTTTATTCTCGAGTAAGCCTAGAGAAAATTCATTGAAATTTCTCYTTAAAATCAATAAGACACTAGGCTTTATATTGGTTTAGTCTCTTCTCTTTGAAATCGCCGCATACAGCTTTCAATCGTCAATATTTAATCATTTTAGTTGGGAAGATACTCAGGTACTCAGTTCCAATAAAAATAAAATATTTAATATTAATAGATGTTATCATGGCCGGTGGTCCGCACAACAGAACCAGTTATACCTTTATTACCTTTGATTATAATTATAAATAATAAAAGTTTTTACAATCAATGCTAATGATACGTACCAAGACGATAGCCGCAGTGCTTTCTACCGTTGTAATTTGGAACGTACTTACCTATTATCATTTATTTTTGACACTAGATGACGCTGAAGTATAAGATTTTTTAATGATATTGTTATGATCGATTGTATTAGGTACGTAAAATCCAACCTACGTACTTACCGCTCTTCCGACGACGTTTTCTCCTAATCTGTATCTGACATCTGTGATCATTATTTTTGACCAGGAAAGACTGAAAGTGATCCATAAATTTCAAGTAATTTGGAAATCAATATTTGTCATTTACTGCAATTTCTGGCCTAGAATGTTAAGGTTTTCTGAGTGCTGAATGATATGAAATAAGTGAAATCGGGACACTAAGTTTTGGAAATACGTACAACGCACTTACTACATACAAAGTTATTTTAATTTTATCAATTTATAAAATATAATATATTTAACGTACTATATTTTATTAAAAAGTTTCGTATATTGACATATCKTATACCTAATTAAGTGGTGATAATTTAGCCTTACTAAAGTTTGCTATGTCATGTCAATTTTTAATCCACCAGTTAGGTATTAAAAAAATACCCATGACTTCGAATCACGACAACACGTGGTAATAAACTCAAAGTAAATATATAATTATGTTTATATAAATTTATTATACCTAATGAATTTTACATATTAAAAAAATAACATCCAAGACACCGAGAATATTGAACTATATACCTATCTGTATATTATGGTGTAGACCAGTGGTTTTCAAAATTTTATCATACACGGCACACTAACCTTTTTTTAGATGAAGAAAATTGTATTGTTTTAAATTAATTATAATTTTACAAATATTGAATTAGAAATGTGTAATTGAAGGGCTAACACATATTTATTAATTATAATTACATTGTAATTAGTTATAAAATGTATTTACAAAAAAAAAAAAGTGTAGTTTATACTTTATTTATATTTTTTAAATTTATTTGATGAAACATATTTACAATCTGTATTTACAGTTATACAATAGGTAAATGTGATGGTGATTGATTGGCAGGAAGGAGAAGTCGCCCAGTGACGGCACCCCATGGAAAGTGAATTAAGAAGAGAGTAGGTCCCTACACCAGTTCCTTTTCAGACGCCTGGGTGGATTACCTGGAATTTGATTGGATGAAAGTTAGATGATTATTAATGTACTGAATGTTTTATGTGTTTTTTTGTAGGTGATTTTGGCAAAGCTGTTTAAGTTKGGAATGCAGATGTCATTATGAAGTGACCCATACCTAATGAGAAATGTGTGCCTGATGGGCTTTACAAAATTTTTTTTTTATTTTTCTCGTTTTTTTTTTATATATTCGTAAGTGCTAAAAACCTTTATTCACAAAGATATAAGGTTAAAAAAATAGTCAGTACTATTATTAAGACAATATCTTTTTATCATCAATAAGATAATATTATTTTAATTATTTTTTAACCATTAATTTTACTATATTTTATACCAATTAATATATCCATTTTTTAGAATTTGAACCTCGATATATTCCCCTAAAAATTAAATTTTTCAAAAACTACCCGCGGGTGAAGAACGTTGGCAAGAAAACGGAAAATCGTCTTGAATATCTCACTGTATGTCTGTAAAATTATATCTGGTTTCACAACCAGGATTAGATAAATTAAACTCAAAAGGGTTGTAAGAAATCAATAATATTTTTTAATAATTGAAATGTACTTCAAAATGGACCTTATAGTTTACCTAATTTACCTAAGTTTTACAAAATTTATATGAGCAATGTGCAAAAAATACAAATTATACCAACTACGAAGTATAATCAGCTATAAGTACTTACTAAAATGTAACTAACACTGTTTTGTATGATATTTATATTGAATGTTCAGCATATACATTAAATTAAATGTTAACATCTATTTTCTTTCACTCCAACGATTTTAGGTAAGTACCTAGCATTTTTAATTCATTTTTAAATTATGTCAATTTATTGGTTCGTGCATGTACATTAAAATATGATTTTAATTGGATTAAAATAAGTAGAGGTTACACGCAATAAAATTCTGAAACACTATAATTATTACAATTTATTATACTTTTTATTCTTTTATTTATTACGTTGAAATAAATTAAATATGAAACAATTGTAGTTTTTATCCCTATAAGTTTTATTACAAAGCCAGAATTTCGATATCACGATTATCTCGGGACACTTTGTATTACTAGCATATTATTATTATTATTATTTATTACCACAGATTAAATTACAMAGTGTTAAACGTATTCATTTACGTTCGTTGTCTCCATAATATTTAATAAATTGTATAATWAATTGACATAATTGTACAACACACTATAATATAATTGCTTAGATAAATATATTCATAAGTATTATTAAGTCAGTTCATACAACTTTTACCCTAAGACAAGGTCAATGCCCAAATGTTTCAATTAATAACATACCTATCCCATCACTCAATGCTGTTAAATATTTAGGATTAATCCTTGACCAAAAATTAACTTGGAACAAGCATATAAGAGCTAAGAGATTAATCCTTAACGCTCGATCTAGATCGCTAAAAACAATTTTATCAAAAAATAAATTTACTAACTTAAAAACAAAACTACTTGTATATAAAACTCTCCTTAAGCCAATATGGACATACGGGTTACAACTCTGGGGATCTGCCAAAAAATCAAATCTAAATAAAATTCAAGTCTTTCAGAATATTACCCTCAGAAAAATCACTAACACTCCCTTCTACGTCTCTAATGTAACTCTCCACCAAGATCTAGGTATTCTACCTGTTGTAACTGAAGTGAAACTATTTTACAAACGTTTCTTTGACAAACTTGAAAATCACCCTAACCCACTAATAAAAGAGCTGCATACCTTTTCACTCCCTGGAAATCCTCAACGTAGACTCAAAAGGAAATGGTGTCGTGACCATTTAAATTAAATATCCCACAATCACCCTAAATATTTCGTCAAGTAAGTAAGTGCCACTAATAGGTGGCTTCTTCATCAAGCAATCCATGTTTTTTTTAAACTCTTATCGTATACGCTGATTGTGCAAATTGTATAGATTGTGTATGTGCATTTGTATAAAAAAAAAAAAAAAATAATAAGTATTATTATATTTCAATACTGTGCTATAAATAAATAAATTAACGCTTTAATTTAATGTTTACAGTATGCTTATATCTATAATGAAAAGTACAAACGTAAAAATGATTTAGTTTGGAAATCAACCACAAAGATATCATTAAAAATTGTCCGGGAATACTAAGCACCGGTATATTTTGAAAAAATGTACTTTCTATAACATCATGACATCATGTTACATGTTTAAACTATTTTAATATAGCTTTGTTGGTTCCTTTTTCATTGAACAATTTTCCGGGATTCCTCACATAATTATATGCATTTAAAAAGGAGAGACGAACAGTGGCGTAAACTGGGGGTCGGACGGGGTTGCATTTGCGACCTCTGAAAATATTATAGAGTTGCATCGTTGCATGAGTGTCTTTTTGCGACTCCGAAAATCACGATTTCAGTTTTCAAAAAATTAAAATATCAATAATTATTTAATTAATTGACTAATTTATATTTTGAGAACAAATTTTTTATTTTGTTTTGAATCACTGGAATTATTATTATATTATACATATTATGTATACTTTCCACATTTTCTTATAGTTTTGTTTTTGACCATTTTCTATTAATAAACCTACCAATATGTATTTATTGTGATCGGCAGAGTCGAATCTCAATGGTAGCTGATTTCACATCTATTTATAGTGAAAACGTGTTTCACTATTTTATGTTTGTTGATTAAAATTATTATTATTTGTTTTACATATTCATTTATTTTTTGACACTTGTATATTTATTTCTTATTCCGCGAACGATGCAAAATTAAAAGTATTTCAACAGCTTGCTAAAATAGACAAATTTCTTGTAAAAATATCGAAGTCAAAAGTAAGCATCTATCTTTACTTTAAATTCATATATAACTTTTGATTTGTATGCATTAAGTTTAAAGTAGCGGTTAAACTATATTACTGCAGATTTACATTATATAAAAACTACAATTTTGACAAATAAAACAATTTATTATTATTATTTATATTTGATCTGTAAATTAATTTATCAGGTAATATAATATTATTGTTGAACAAGTTTGTTACAATTATTTATTAGAGTCTAGATTAAAAGAACTGTAGTATTTAATGTATTCATATTATATTGTTTAAGAAAATTATATATATTCTATTGACGGTAATTAATTATACCCTATTTATATTGTATATTCATAATACATACCAGTCACCAATAGATATTATATATGTTTAAGGTTAAAATAATTTTGTTGAGATTGTGTACTTTTTACTTATAATATTATATTTAGAACAATATAAAGCTTTTTGGGGGGGTAGAGGGGCTTAGCCCCCCAAAAGTCTGTCTAACCGGGAAACTGATTGCAACCCTAACAATTTAGCCCAATTTACGCCACTGGAGACGAATATAAGAAAAATAAGCAAAAAGCTTCAAAAGATTCGAATTTTTGGAAGTCAAATGGTGGGAGTAATAAAATGAAAGATGTGGTTATTGTAAAGTTGGCAGATAAAACGTTATCAGTTGAATAGCCTTATCATAATATTTTTTTCATTGACAAATGAATAAAACCTAAAAATCGTTAAAATGATGTTCGTAAATCATTATTCATTAGCCTTTTTCTAGATCTCTAAAATGTCTAATTGTTGTACGTGTAACACTTTGTAAATATGTAAATGCCGTAAACCATAAAAATGTTGACTGTCGTCATTGCATTATCGTTTGTTTTAAATTGAATACATTTTGGTGTATCCTTATTGATATCACACAATTAACTAAGTAAGTAAGTACCTATAATTTATAATAATATTTAAATTCAGTTATTAACCGTTTATTTATGTAAAATAGTTAATTATAAGTAATGCATCCAAATTTTGGAAAGTTACGACTTGGTAACATCCTAAAATTTACTGACCATTGTATGACATGTTCTAATAAAGATACTATGTTATTCATTTCAGTAGAAAATTGTGTTTGATACCTACCATGGTTGCTTTGTTATACAACATCTTAAGACCTCCATTTTGAATTTGATAATTTAAAAAACACATAATATATGATTTTATACTATTGTATATGATTATAAACATAAATTATAAATAAATAAAATGTATATTTTTAGAACTGTTCAACAATGGACTTAAAACAAGGTTCAAGTACTGATTGGTGTYCAGATGATTTTGATCAACATGATATCAATAGACCAGGACCTTCAGGAATGAAACACAACACGGGTCATTTTGTGGTAATATAACTTTTTTTACCTAAAAAAATTATAACAAAAATGTCCTGTTATTATATGTACAGTAGAATCTTGACTATCCAAACTTTTGGGACCTTACCTAATTTGAATAGGTACTAGAAATTGTTTAAAACATTTTTTTTTTTTTTACAACTTACAATTTTTTGTTTTTTAATTTTTTTTTTAATGACAATGCTTCAACATCTTAGGTTAAGGTTATTAGCCTACAATTTTAACAATGTGAACTGAAATAAAATGCAGACATGCAGTTGTATGAAATATGTTTCTTAGGTACTTCTTCATTGTCCAGTTGCTAAAAATCACACTATGGGCAATTACTCCTAACACAAGATGGTTTATACTTGATCGTGAACAAACATTGTGACCTTTGACAAAAGTACCTAAGTGGCTTGGTGAGGTGCGGTCGTACGTTAAATCTGCGGAAACGCACTGAGTGTTCGTATCGGCCCCAGTGCTAGCTCCCGGATGGGTGACCACCCGGGATTTTTAGCAACATATCCTTGCCACACATACACAAACACTTGTTACAACCCTACCCACTTAAAAACCTACAAATAAATATAGAAAAATAACCCCTATTGTACCACCCCACACCCAATGGCCTATGTTGCCGCGGGTTGATGAAAAAAAAAAAGTACCCAAGAATGATTCCAATTTCAAAAATATAAAATTATATTTACTTAAATATTTATTCAACTGTTATAGAAGTAGGTATGGGATTTAAAAAAGGTCTGTACATATGATTTGTGAAATTATTTATTTACTACCTACGCACTATTACACATTGAAATATTCTAATAATTAACTATTATTGTTCGAACAATAAGGAGAATTGTTAAATATTAAATTAAAATATTCTTAAAAACTTTAATTTTTTTTATTAGTGATAAGGCTTCAACATCGTAGGTTATTAGCTTATAATTTTAACAATGTGGAGTGTGTACAGAAATAAAATTTATAGATATTTACAATTTATGGTTTAAGYATATGTAATGGAAAAATTTGAAAATTGCTTTGGTGTTCTTTTCACTAAAAGTAAGAGGGGAGTTGTATTTTTAAAAATTGTCCGAGCTTTGGTGTATTTTGGGCATCTAGTGATAATGTGGTCAATCTATAGGTTCACGTTGCATGTGTTGCGTACTGGAGCAGGTTTCTTGGTGTTGAGGAAGGAGTGGGTGAGGTGAGTGTGGCCTATTCAGGCTCGAGTTATAATGACCTAACTTACAATTATATACTATATATTATTAAGTATTACTTATAACTAAGTATTTAAGAATATGTTATCATGTTTATGATATTGCTTATTGTTTTGATCAAATTCGGAATATAGAGCATTCTGATACACTATTGTAGTTCGGAAAGTAAACGGTTTGTAACAGTTTGTATAATGGATGTTCATATAATCAAGGTTCTACTGTAATTATTATTGAATTGTTTTTATGTAATATTAATATAGATATATTAATTAACCTGTTATGCCTATATTAACTAATGTTTTGTTATAGATTGGCGGTATGAAGTTTAAAAATATTGATTTCATTAAAGATACCTTCACAGATGATAGTATTGTATTATCAGATACCAACGGCCGTCCATTTGATGTACTAACCAACAATGATATGCATTCCATGGCAGTTCTTGGTAACTGAATATATATATATATATATACATATATTCAATTTAAATTTATTAATTGCTTAATTTTTGATTTTTTAGATAACCAAGCTACAGATTTTGGAATGACTAAACACTCACAAACTGTAATGTTACCAGAATACAACACTATGTCAGAAGTGGAGACTTTGGTATCAATGCCAGATCAGTATTTTCAAAATGATTTATATCACATTAAATCAAATAATATGTCTCAAGTCTCTAATAGACATTCAGTCATGGATAGTTTATCACATGACAATTCTTTGGTGCAAATTGATCAGTTATCATTTATTCCCAAACAAACTGATAATTTTGTCAATAATCTGGGAAGTAATCAAGATTTGATTTTAGAGACTGGGAACAATCGTTTTATCTTTTCAGAAAATGGTGGTAGTTATATTGAAGTGACTTTGAAAGATAATAATGTGTTAAATAATGATGGAAATGAATTTTATACTGTACCACAGTCTAGATCTATTCAAAATAATCATATTGCCCAAAAAATTGTGTCCATAGATGATTTAAGTTTATTATCTTCTCCAAAATCACATCATAATGTAGAGTTACTAGTCAACCACGAAGAATTAGTGGACAATATAGACACTTGTGATATAGCAGTTGTTGATGAATCACAAATTCCACTTAACACTAGTCAGTTAAAAGGAAGAATCGATGAAGGATCTGAAAGTGTTTCTCTTGATGTTGATCATCATCAACATAGTTCAGGTATCTATAAAACAGAAATTMAAATTTATTTACTTATACAATTTAAATAACTTTATGTCTTAATTAGATAAATAAATCAATATTAAATAAAACATTTTTTTTTTGTTTTTCTTTATTAAGGTTTTCAAAGAATGTCCAAAGAAACAATTGAAAAGATAGCAGAAGAATTTGTTAGACAACCACTCTGTATTGATGAAGATATTAGTATTAATTTTATCAGTAGAATTAATCCAAAGCCACCTGCTCTAATAGAATATTGTAAGCATTAGAAAAATACATGATATTCTATTATTTATAGGTATAGAAATATAGGTTAAGAAAAACATTATGTACTAACTAGAAATAAATCATTTAAAATAGATAATAATAATTATAAAATAAAATGTTATAATATTAAAAGGCAACTTTTCATAGTAACGATAATTATTAAKATTTTTCAACAACTGGATGTCCAGTGCCATTATACATTTGACAGAATTTTTGAGACTTCATGGTGTTCTTTTGTGGTCTCTGAAGGTACTGTTAGAATATTTATTGAATATGTTGAATAACATGGACTGTAATGTGGCTATAGTTGTTGGTTAGATAGTGAGTGGTTTCTATTTGTCTTCCATTATTAATTAATAGATTTTTTTCTCCAGAACAGCATAGCCTATTTAGGTACAACGTTAGATTTTGTGTAGCCCTTAGTAAAATAAATTAGATACTATTTATGTAGAATAAGCCCCACAAGAATAACTGAATAATTAAGATATACCAGGCTACAGCAATGTGGTCTATTAGTTATTGCTATGCTTGTATCAATAGGATTTTGATGTTGAAACTACTTCCCTTCAAGTTTTCAATTAATTTACTAAAAATGCTTAATAGGTTATTTTATAATAACTTAAAAAAAATATATTATAATGATTTTTAATTGAATGTGAGCCATTTACCCAAAATTGTTCCTTAATGAATCAATGTTCATGCAATTGCTCAACTGCAAAAATAACTTGGGTGTTCTCTTATTCCCAGACTTCAATTACCGTTCTCACATTTTATAAATAAGTTGCTAGGCCTTCATACAATTGTCTAACTTCTAGCTCATCTCTCTAATAAAGACCCTTTATTGCTCGTTAGTTTGGCCCATGCTTGAATACAAATTAGTCTTGTGGAATTCCCTTATAGCTTCAGACTGCTACCATAAGCAAGTCCAAGTCCAAAGAAGTTTTATATCCTACACTGGTTATATACTAAAAATTCCCCACTCCTTATACAACTATTCTCCAGTTGTTTTTGAACTAGGTATATTAACTCTGGCTGATAGAAGAATAAATAGTAACMTAGGTTCATTTAAAATCTTATTGGTGATTATGCTGACATCACATTGCTCTTTTCCTTTACCAACTTTCATGTCGCTACACATACTAACTGCTCAATTGTTCCACTTACTATTCTTAAGAGGACACTACACWCATATTTGTTGTCTCCATCTTATAAATGCGTAACATAGCAAATTTACACTTAGCAGATCACGTTTAACTCCGTTAGTTTAAAAATTAGAGTAAATTAATCTATTTTGAAACTTGATGGTAAGAACATTATCTGTGTTTGAAAGTGGGGTTTTTACGATTGTTCAATTTTGTAGCAAATTAAGCGTATTTAAAAATGCTCATAACTCACTTAAAAACTTAGTCATCATAAAAAAAACCCACATACAAACACAGATAATGTTCTTACCATCAAGTTTTATACTAGTTTAGTTTACTTTAATTTTTAAACTATCAGGGCTTAATGTGCTTTGCTAAGCGAAAATTTGGTATGTTACACATTTGTAAGACAGAGACAATAAATATGTRYGTAACATTCTCTTAAAAGCTCTACTAATTACAGAATAATGTAACTGACTGGTTAATATGCTTAGCCAACATCCACCCTTTATTTCTATTGCAATGTGTTTACCTTGTACATTCTCTTTCTACTGAACTATTATTATATGTGAATACTTACTACTGTACTTTGGTTCAAGCACATATTTATTTGATAAATGAAATATTAGGAAAAATATATTTGAATTTATTATTATGAACTAAAAACTATATTTTTGTGATTTTAGTTGTGTTTTGTGTTGTGTTAATTTATATGATTTTTCTAGGGTGTGAAGATTGTAATAAGCTATATCAAAATGAATCAAACTGTCCAATACATCGAGTGAGTAGTATCATTGATCTAGCTGTACAAACTAGAGCTAGAGCATCATTACCTGCTACACATTTAAGAATTATGAAGATTAAAAATCAAGAAAATTTAAATAATAGTGAGTGATGTTAAAGAATAATGTGATGTGTTAATTTTGATTCTATTATATAATTATAATTATTGTTTGTTGAAGAGTTTGGAGTATTTGCAAGAAAAACAATTCAAAAACATACCCAGTTTGGTCCATTAGAGGGTGTTAATATCAAGGATGAAGAGTGTGTTGAAGAGTCTATGAATGATGAGTTTAAATATTTGTTGGAAGTAGATAAACAGTTTAGAAGAATTGATGTTTCAAATGAAGGTAAGTGGTTTTAATGGTTTAAATAATTATTTTGTTATGTAATAATTGTTATTATGCATATGTATTATATATACAGTATATAGATAAGTAATTCTTAAATTTTGATTTAGAGTTAGTTTTTCAGTTA